GGTAAATGCGATTTTTGTCGGAAGAGGGTCGAACTTACGAGGAACTGTTCTTAAAGAATAAAGTTCCAAATGAAAAGAATGGCCGACTAAACAGAATGTTTCCAAACCACCACATTCTTAGACACTGATTCATTCGCTTCCTAACATTGGATATAGTTCAAATTCCTGTACTATTAAATTCCTAAAAAAAAAAAAAAAAAAAAAAAAAAATATTTCATCAAATCTTGGAATTAAAATTTCTTTTTATGAAATTTCCTTCGATTAAAAGATTATGAGAAGACGATGGAAAATTGCAAAAGCGAAAGTGAGAGTTTCACGAAGACAGAAAATAAGGTCCGTTCGGTAAACTTCTCCGAGAACCTCCAAAGCATTAACCATATTTAGACATGGGCTGGTGAAGGACTACGCGCGTCATGGCCATTTTTGGCAACAATAAAGGAGCTGTAAATGGAAAAGAAGAAAGAAAGGAAAGCAGAGAGGCATATTCTTGTCTCGAATTATTATAACATGTTATGTTTGCACGCGTTGTTTCTACGGATATTGACATTTTTCTCTATATATGTAGATAATCGAAAGTACGATTCAATGTTTCCTTTCGATTGTTATAATAGAAAACTGTTATCCCACACCACTCGAAAAAGTATATTTGCGTTCCATTACAAGGGATATTGATTCGACGAGATATATTTTATATGGATTTTTAAGAAGAAAATATATATTTTTTTTCTTTCTTTACCTTGCTACACTTTCAAAAAATTGTATCAACCTCTTTATTTTACATAACCGTAATTTACTTTCATTTTAAATCTACTAAATGTCCAGTAACTTGTGGATGGCAATATTCGCGTATAATAGCCTTTCAACCCTGATACCACTTACACATACCACTTTACTGTCGTTCGATAATTCTATTCACTGGCATAAAAGCGTACCGTGGAGTTATCAATGAATTATCGTTCACTGTACACCGTTTCCTTCGCCTCTTCTCGAACTTCCTCCTCCCCTCACTAAAATTTTGCAACGTTATTCGAAAAAATTTGAATTGCGAAGAAAATCGATTTTTTCCCTTCCCCTCTTTCTTTCCTTCTTCAATTCAACCCACTTCGGATATACATTCGAGTTGAAACGATTATTTTAAATTTGTTTCTCGTCGAGAATGTTGCTGATTAAAGTTTTCTCACAGGCATAAAATAACTTTATGAATGAATTCCGCCACGGAATAATTGTGATCTTCCTTTATTCAATTGGATGAACCGAAGTGAACCGAAGAAAAATCGTTTCTTTCTATGAAATTTTCTCCCGAGCGGAAATTTATCGGAACGTTTGGGAAATATAAGCGAAGACGGACAGCTGGAGGACAGCTGTAGATAAACGAAAAAAAAAAACTGTCCTTTTTCCTATTTCTCTTCCTTTCGTTGTGTATAAATCGTCGTAGCCTGCACGATAAATCACGCATTCGATCTCGAGAATATCACCTCCTCTTCTTTTAAAGGACGAAAATAACGATCGACGAATTACGCGTTTTATTAATTAAATTTCTCAAATGAAAAATTTCGAAAAGAAATGTTAAAAAAAATATAAATTATACCAAAAACCAGGGCAGCTATTCTTATCCGACTTAAAGTCATCGTTCTCTTCTTCCTTCGATTCCTCTCGCTTTTGCAAATCACTTTCAGAACTTTGTTTCGAAATTATATTCTTCTAACAAAAGTTCATTGTCGATCACCAATCACCAATTTATTTATCGTCACACGCGTAGAGAATTTAAACTATATAAAAAAAAAAAAATGATGCACTTTTCCTCAAAAACGAGATAAATACGGGGAAACGCTTATTCATTTAAACGAATTTCATCGAATCTTTGATAATTGTGATAATGAAATATTCCTAGATTGTCTCTCGCACAATTTCTTCACTTATATATCTCTCTATATACATCGTGGCGGAATTCGGACAAATCGGTTTAAAGATTATAATTCGAGAATCGTTTCTTAACAACGAGACGCGTAAAATATTTGTGAGAATCGCACACTGGTGTCGCAACACTGGCAATAACGATTGACTAAAAATCTCTCATTGGAGATGAGTTGCCGCGGAAGTATTCGGAAATTCGTGAGACTGTTTAACGTGAAAAACGCGATGCCCGAGATCAACATATCTAATTTTAAAAAGGTTAATTTTAAAAACTTTCCTCCCCCCTCCCCATTCCCGCGCAACCTTGGAAGTATACACGATACACGCACACGCACGCACGCACACGCATACGCGGGATACGAACTCGCGTTTCCCTCGTATCTTTTCCCTTCTTTGCACTTCCTTTTACTCCCCCTTTGTTTCTTTCTTGGCTCACTACTCGTCTCGTTTCTTCGAATTCACTCTCGTATTTTTAAGCTTCACCGTTCAACGATTTTTCTTTTCATCTTTCGTGCATCTGTTCTCTGCTGAATCAACTCTCGAGTCCAGTCGATATCAACTTTACAATGTCGTTTCCTCGATTCGTTTCCTCGAAATAAATCGTGGCAATCGAACGTTTTCGATTCGGACGTTTCATCGAATTACGATTCATCTTTTTTCATCGGTACAATTTCATGTTGGATTTCGTGATACGCGTTGTTTAATAATTTTGCTCCATCTTGTAATTTCATTTTCAGAATCGTTTCAATTTGCTGTATACGTGTGTATTAATACGAGCAATTGGAAGATTGGAGATTTTCGTGCGACATCAATAATAAATCTATGGAATGTTCGATAACAGCACATTCTGCGAATACCAGAGAAGGCGAGGGAGTACGAAAGGAAATCTACGAATCCTAAAAATCGATCGATGCTCTTCCCGAATATAAACACGAAGGTTTAACGCGGTTCTTCCATTTCTTTTCAACGATATATAAAATATAAATATTCGCGACGTGTAATCGTTCGATATTCGTCATTGAATTTTTATCTAATCGTAAAAAAAAAAAAAGAAACGATCAACGATTTGATGAAACATTCATCGCTGAAAGATCCGTGGAAATTAATTTTTCAACAGCACGAAACGAGTGAATTTTCTATCGTAATAATGATTTAAACATCGTGGAAACTGGATATTGCGTATCCTCGTCTTGTTTATCCCTCGGGCAAAGTTGGCGATGTGGGGCAAAAATGCAGCGGGGAATAAATTTTTTATCTAAAAAATTCATAAAAAAGTTTAAAGCGAATAATATCGAAATGAACTGTACTGAATGTTTATCCAAAGTGGGGAGTGTATAATGGGGCTGACACAGTTATAAATAGAGCGGCGCTTTTCGTGGCGCGAAATTAAAAGTGCACGTTTTGTAAATTGTTCGTTTCACGGCCGCTTAAATCGAACCGTGGCCGCCCCTATTTGAACGGCAACGTTTTCAAACGTGACTCTCGGGGCCTCCAAGCCCCGAATCCGTGATATTCTACGTCTAATCATCCGATGAAAACATGTTGCGAAAAAGAAAAAATTATTAATTACGAGTCCAATGGAGATAATCAATAAAATTATAGGATAAGAAAAGATCTACGATTTTTCGATTCAATTGTATTATATTTATATCTATATCTATCTATAGAGAATCCAAGTTTAAAAATCATTTATTTGAAATACGATATTTCTTCTCTATCTGTCCAACGTTGTGTTTATTTGCGAGTTTATCCAAGAAGTTCGATACATAAGCAATATTATTATCTACTACTGGAATGTTATTCTTGGAGCCTATCTACAAAATCAACAAACTTGTACGGTTCTCTGCGCAAAGTTTAAAGCAAAGTGAAAAAAGGAGAAATAAGGAAAAATCGAACATGGCACGATTCTATATAAAATTTCCAATTACTTCGAATTTCGATCGGGTCGATTTTCTTAATCAAGGATGTGCTTTGAGCAAGCGTAGCGGAAATATCGAATGATGTATCGCGATAGGCATTCATAATTTCCGGCTGGGTCTGGGTAACGTCTGGTCCCTTTAATAACGTTACACCATGAATAACGCGGAGTCGAGGTCCGCGTGGAATTTTCTCGTCAATTTTTCGCTTTAAACTCGACTAAAAACCGCAAATTCGAAAATCGATGGTCGCGAGGCTTTTGAGACGAATGCCTCCGCCCCCTCGTTTCGTTTACTTTTCGTCCAATTTTCGTCCGATAATGCACCGATTATGAAATTTTCGGCCCTCCGTACAACAATCTCGTTATCCCTCCGCAAATTTTCGTCGATCGGCCGCATAATTATCGGCAACGATAATTGTGAATGAAAACTTTTCAACGGAGGAGGAGCAAACTCCTGTTCAACTTCATATAGGAACGGATCTTGTTTCATATGTTTCGTCGGATATTTCGATAAATTAAATTAAATGAAAATTCCGCAGATGTTACTTATTATTTTATTATTAAGCGAAGAAAATATTGTTCTAATTTTCAAACTAATTAAAATCAATTTCTGTTATTTTACATTGGGGACAAATTTTGTTTTTTGACAATAACGAGGAATATTTTTGACAAGTGAGAAATCGTTATTTGTTAAAATTCCGATGTTGTTCGAGTTATGTGGAAAGAATTAAACAAGTCTTTTCTTTTTTTTGTAGATAAGTAAGATGTTTAATCGTAGATATTTAATTCTATCGAGAATGTCCTCGATCGTATAATAGTCGAGGAATGGAACGAGTAATGATGTAATAATGAGGCATTAATGAGGTAGAAGCTTAATCTCGTTTCCTGAAATTTTAACTCAACATTTAGTTTCAAATTGATTGCCAACTATACGAACGAATGCTTGATATAAATTTCAAAAAATATAAACTAATAAACTGTTAAAAATATATATATATATATATAAAAGAAGAAAAATTATATCCCTCATAAAATCATAAAGTAATGCTGTAATTTATTAATAGAAGAAAATTTTAATAAGAATCGATTCTCTAAATTCTATTTCTATTTCTATTATTGAATTAAATGCATACATCGCTTAAAGAAAAAAACAAATTTGTTTACTTACGTTAACATGTTTGCACGCGATTGTGAATAACTCCAGCTGCAACAAAATAAAAATTAATTATTATGCGGTATTAAAATAATAAGTCACAGAAGAATATATCACTAATTTGCTAGTGATACGCGTCGATAAATGAGCGTGATGTCATCGACGTTTAATTAAATTAAAACGAAATATAATAATCGCACGAAATCGAAAATATCGAAATCGATATAGAAAAGTGATTCGATTAGTGGATTCGAATATTTGGAAGATAGAGTTTTAGTCCTCGCACAGTTTTCCGCCGCTGTGAATTTAAAATATTTTCAGAGCGCGCCAATTTCTCTCGAAGCACGAATGTTGTGTTTGCACAACTCTTTCCCAGAATACGAAATGGAAAGTTACTTTAGATTGAATCTTGAATTTCCCCTTCTGTGTATCAATAAAGTTAATGAAATTCTATATTAGTCCACCGTTCGAATATTTTTCAATATCGAATTTTAAATCGGGAGTAATAGAAAAATTTTTTACACGATTTATCACGTAAATTAATTCAAAATATTTATTAAATTCGAAATATTTATTATTATACGCATTTCATATATTTATATATATATATTTGCACATGGCGCATGTTAGTTCTGCCTTCTTCTATAAACAACCTATGAAATATAAAATATTCTAATATCTGACGTACGAATTAATAGAATCAGATTGAGAGGGAAAAATTTTTATTCGTGCACTCGTATTTACACATTTCTACTTCTTAAAAGTTGCGCGTCTCTCTGTTCCTTTTCAAATTAAATTTAAATAACGAATATCCAAAAAAAAAAAAAAAAAAAAAAAATCGAAACAATATCGTGGTTTAATCCGCCGTGGCGGTTTTATACTTCAAAAGTCAAGTTTTAAATTAAAAAAAAAAAAAAAAAAAAAAAGAGAGAGAGAGCAAGAAACTTTTTACCATTGTCACAAATCGGTCGTTCGAGCGAGACGACTAGAAAATGCAATTTCAATCGTCCTACACACGCCGGTCGATGATGGATTTAGATCGTCCGCTTTTGCGGGTGAAAGTTTAAAAACAGTTTCGACGAGACGCGATGCCATTCGATGCCATTAACCATGGACGACTTTAATTGATTTCTTAAATTAGCCTCGGCTGTACACCGCTAACCTCGGGATAGGTTGAATCGCGGCCGGCCGGGAAATTGTGAATTTGAATCGTTACGTGAGGAGCAGGAGGAACACGGTGAGGAGGGGGAGAGAAAGAGAGAGAAGAAGGGAGAAAAGGGGGAAAAGTAAAAAATAAAAAAGCGGATTCGATGCGACGAGGCGGCATTGTTCAAGGAGAGAAAAACAGAAATGGGTTCAACCAAGTTAATATCGAATCGAATGGGGCGGCAATCGGTACGAAACCAAGCGGAATGACCTTATTGCTTGGGTCGAGTGCAATCTGCAATTGACTTGGTTTGTTACTACAATTGGCTATTACCGATTTATAGGTATGAATTTTTAGAATAGATTTATTACAGATTTTGACGCGTTGCCGTTTCTTATATTTCGTAATTTAAACCGTTCCTTCAGTCTTTTTGGATCAAGGAATAAATATGATGTTTGATTTTTAATTCGGATAGGATGAATAAAATTTGAAGAAACAATTCGAAATTTTCATCCTCCAATTTGAGATCCTTTGGAATTATATGTGTCACATTGTAGAAGAAAAAATAGCTGATAATAAATGATAATATGAATAAAAAAATAATAATCGATATAGTCAAAATCATGAATATGGTCTACAAGAAAAGATGTATTAATTATTTAATGTTTAACCGTTTAATATTTTTGATGCAAAATTGTTATCGTATCGTGTAAGTACATCGTGTTGTTAATCGATTTCGTAATGTTTTTCAGATACTTGTTAGAATGAAGCGTCCCAACACTTTCGAGCGACGATATGCATTCTCACACCTCTTTACATAACGTACAACTTATCGATAGTTCCATAACATTTAGTGGCTTTAATAGTCACTCGTGACAACCGTGCGAGGATGTAACGTTCGTTGAAATGTAACTATACAATATTACCGTGTTATGCAAGCTTTTATAAGAATACGTTGCGTCGTCGACGAAGCGAGAGGAACAGTATTAAACTGAACCAAGTTTTGCATAATACATGCTTTGAAATCGTTACGTTCACCTCGTTTATGTTCTTCGCAACACGAAAATTGTTTACGTTTAGATGATATATCTAGCGAGGTGATCGTGAATAAAAAATAAAACAAACGAGGGGGAGTGCAAATATATAAGGTAACGATTTTCTGTGACTGTTGTTAAACACTTTGAAGGTATATCGAACGATTCGAGATTTAAATATCGTAACGATCGATTATCGGAAGTAACTTATTAATTGATGTTCACATATTCCTTTCTCGCACGTATTACGTTGATATTAAAAAAAAAAAAAAAAAAAAAAAAAAAAAAAAAAAAAAAAAAAAAAAAANAAAAAAAAAAAAAAAAAAAAAACGAAGAACTTGTCTTTCGTTGTTTGCTTCTTTGTCAAAGATCAAGTGTTTCCCTTTGCACCAATTTCTTGAGTATAATTTTAGAAATCGAATTGAATCGACACGGAGAGAAAATAGCTGACAATTCTCTTATAGGCGCGCTTGTGTGTATCTTTTAAAGTGGGGTTAGATCCGACTGTTCCCATATAACTTATTTTTACCGCGGTGAAAATTCTTCTCGAATGATCTGCGGGAAACGAGTGCGTAAACTTGCGATGACACGATAGGATTCAAAGTTCCCCTTTCTTTTATCGAATTGATATATATTCGCGTTTATTCCCCGTAAATTCCGTTTCAACATACAGGTAGATACGAATTTATTTGAATTAATAATATCGGATATAGATATTTCTTTCTCTCAAAAATGAATTTCTTAAACAATTTGGAGGATGCATAAAATATTTTATCGTTTAAATATTTTATCCGGTTCAAGCATTGATATATATATTCATGAGTCAAAGTTACGACACGAATTCGAGTGAAAAAAAAAAAAAAAAAAAAAAAAAAATTCAACGAAATTTAAAATGTAGTTCGCGTATATAACGCCAATAACGAAATCATTTTTCGTTTTGGCAAAAACTAGTTTGTAGGAGTGCAAACACTTCTGAAAGAAATGATGAATTTTCATGAATATGTATGAAGGCGTATAATGCACGGAAAGAAAGTTATGTTTGAAAGTCGCGCGATATTTGATGTCCTGCAATATGGTGGCAAGGAATTTTGATGAGGAAAAATTAGTTTCTTCGAAATTTGCCTTCGGTTGCCCTTCCTTTCTTTTTTTCTTTTTTTCTTTCTTTTTTTATTTTTTGGAATTTAAATAATTTCGATTAATTTATTAAATCGATTAATTACTTTAACTGGGCGCGAAATTAATGTGTCGAATGAAAATATGATAATGAAACACCGTTAATGCGCGAGCTAAAAATAACAAGGAAAACAAATATTTCATTAAAACCTGTCATTCTGTACGAGATAAATTTATTACGAATTAAACACGTTGATGCGAAATCCAATTTTGAGACACGAGAATTTTAACTTGGCTACATCTGTCAGGGGTTTAATTACGATTTTTAACGTTGAAAGAAGAATTACATCGCAACTCGTTAATGATATAGAATTTCATACCATCACGTCAAAGATATTATTAATGAATATCTGATAAATCTTTAAGATATCTCTGACGAGATAGAGGAAGAGAGAGAGTTGTAATTAAAGATAACAAAAGGATTTTCCTATAAATGCAACACGATTGTTTATTTCATTTCATTTGTCATTTATTTCCACCGAGATACCTTATTCCTTCGTTTTACAGTTTTCTGCACATTGATCGCATCTTTCTTTTTATTTACTCTCTGAAATTCCGATAGATATTATTCGACCAGCATTCGTGACCTCTCTCTCTCTCTCTCTCTCTCTCTCTCTTCACGAGCCATTATCACTCGAAGAAAACGAAAATTGACTTTCATTCGAATCGTTCTCGATAAATATTTCTGCCAAATCAATTTACGTATTTTACGAAACACGCAAATAAATTAGAAATTAAAATTTATTTAATTCGAATAATTTAAATATAAATTATATAGAATTATATAAAATAGATAAAAATGTAACAATTTTTGCACGGAACGATTGTAGTACAATTTCATTCGATAAAATTTCATTTCGGAGAAAAATGATGATGATGGAATTGATATGAAATGTTTCGATAATTTGCGAAGCGACCGCATTTGTGGTTTTCTTTTAAATTCAAAGAAAAGGATCAATTTGCAATTTGAATTTCGCATTTCAGATTTATCTGTACGAATCGAAACGAGAGGAAATGTGGAACGAGAGACAGATTCGAACATGCGAAATGAAGAAAATTTGAAAAGTAGTTGGGATGTCAACAACCCTTTTCACTCGAAATTAAAACTTTGGATAGTTTTAATTAGCTAATTCATTCATTCGAATTTCATATCAAGCTGTTTTAATAAAATAAATGAAATTAATTTACCTTGTTTAATTGAAATTACAGCCATCTCTTGCGTTTTATTTCCACGATTCTAATTAGTTATGAAGACGTTGTTGTATCGTGTAATTTTCGTTATCGTTATCTCTTATATTCATACTTATAATTCTGAATACAAGTTAATTTTAAAAGAAATAATTATGGATATTTAAAACGTGGACAAAATTAGAAAAATTTATTATTTCGTAATATTTTAAATACGAAAAAAAGAATGTTTTTAAAGGAAACGTCTATGAATACGAAAACTTGAAAAAAAGATGCAAAATCAAAGGAAGTTGTTATTATTATTTTTTCAAACTAAAAAAACACACGAAATTTCCTTTATTTTCTTGAAAAATATTATTTCAAGTAACGTTTTTTAAATTTAATTTAAAAATAAAAATTAACACTATACCATGATTTTAAATAGAAAATCAATTTTAAAAGAAACATCTATGAATAATTAAAAACACAAAAATGAAAAATTGAAGAGAGAGAAAGAGAGAGAGAAAGAG